TGTAGATGGAACTCTGCTTGTGTGTTTCACTGGACTAAAATTTGAGTTTACCTTACTCTCCTTTCCTGAGACACCTTGATGCAGTAATGTGGACCCTAAATCCTTGAAATTCAAGGAAGAATCCCTTCTCAAATCATACATTGCTGTCTCTTCCCTCTGCTGTATGTTCCTCTTTTGCAGACACTCAATGGGAGTGTGCAGCATTCAGTGCAGTCCCCACCGCGAGAATCTTCTGGCTACTGGCAGGTAAATCCCTTCTAGCTGCTCTTCACTAGTGTGACCAGCCTCCTCTGTTATTTTGAATGTGCTGCTACTGCTGCTCAAGGTGCAGTCTCTTCAGACATTCAGTGTGGTGAAGAGCATGTGATCTTTCCAAATTTTCTTCTGTACTTGTTGCACTGAATCAGCTTTGCTGCTTGCCTGCATATTTATTTGTAATATGTCTCCAGCTATGACGAGCATGTGCTGTTGTGGGACACCAGGAACATAAAGCAGCCGCTGGCAGACACCCACGTTGAAGGTGGAGTTTGGAGGTTGAAGTGGCACCCAACCTATGATTTTGTGCTGTTAGCAGCCTGCATGCAGAGTGGATTCAAAATTCTTGACTGCCGCGGAAGCATAGGTGAGTGTTCAGAGGAACAGAGATGTTCTTGTGTTCCTCTGCTGCTCTCCTTTCCTACCTCCAGATTAATGGGGGAACTCCAGCTCTGAGCTAGCTAGAAAGATCTAGATGTTGTTAATAGCCGTAGACTTTTATTCCAACTTGAGGTAACTCTGCCAGCTTTCCCAGGCTTATCCTCACTCTTGGCCTGATAGGTTGTGCAAAGGCGCTGTCATTATTTATGTGTAAATCTCTCGTAACTTCTCTTCATGGGAAGAAAGCCTGTTTTGGTGTGAAGGCATTACCTGTTGACATGACCATTCTGGTTTGTATTCATCTTGATGGTTCAAAGAGGTTCTTCTGAGTGTCAGGTGGTGCTTTACTGTCAGCAGAAGTTACTGACCTGTGATGAATTGGTTATTGCCTCAGAAAGGAAGTGCTGTGCAGTCCGGTTAATCTAGAGTAACATGAACAAGCTCCCCATGTGAATCAGAAGGTATTTACATGATTAAAAGCTGTTTGCATTTACATTACAAATACAATCTTGCATAAAATGGTTGCCTTCCTGGGTTTCTCCAGGCCTTGGGCAGACCCACAGCTTGTGAAATGAGGGTAACATTTCTCCTGTGTAGGGAAGGGAGGAACTTGATGTCCATTTAATATCAGAGTAAGCATTTGACTCTGAAGGCTCATGGGAAGAACACATCTGTAATTTATTTATAACCAGAACCTGGTCTGGCAATCTCACCAGCTGTATTTATGGCTCAGTGGGGATTGCTGTGATCTGTCTTGTCTTTCTTGACCCTTTTTAGGTATTTTGAATAACGAGGCTCTTACACCTCATGCCCACTAAACCCTCTTCTCCTGTCTGCTTACCGAACTGTGGAAAATCAAAGCTAATGAGAGGTGGCTGAAAAATTGCCAGGAGAGGCAGTACCTCATTTCTCCTAGAATGCTTAACCATGTTGTGAAGGTGGCAATAACCAGGGAACTCTTCCTGTAGGACATAGCCAATGCCAGAATGGCTTCTGATCAGTCTGCAACAAACCATTTCACAACTTGATTTCTGCTCATTTCTTTTTTTTTTTTCTTTTTTTTTTCTTTTTTTTTTTTTAAAGCGGAAAACATGGAGGAATGTATCATCCTGTCATCCTATGTCTTGCACAATTCCTTGGCCTACGGGGCTGACTGGTCAAGGCTCTGTCCGAGGGATTCCTTGACTGCAACACAGGACTCTGCTGCTGCGTGGCTGTCTTTGGAGGAGCTTGTGGGAAGGTCAGAGGAAGGTGACGAGAGACTGAATTTGCAGGTCCAAAACCTGAAGATAATATATGAGTCTCCTACAGCTACTTTTGATGTCATACTAGATGAGGAGATTGAAGGCCCTGCCTTGCCGCTCAAAGCAGAGGGGGGTCCTAAGCTGTCTGGGGATCCTGACCTGGTTAGGGGCCCTGATTTAAAGGGGAGTTTAGATTTGGCTGGGGGTCCTGACCGAGGGGGAGATCCTGAGTCAAACAGGGGTTCTGACTCAGGAGCTAAGAGACCCAACGGAATGGGCCTGGACAGAAGCGGTGATTCAACCAGGTCTCTAGACAGCCCGAAAGAAATGAGCATTGTAGCAACTTGTTCTTTCTATGACAATATTCTCCATGTCTGGAAGTGGGAGATGAGCCTGGTGACGCCTTTGGAGATGCCAAGTACTAGATCTCCATCTGAAAGAACAGTTGAAAGTTTGCATTGACCAGTCCCAAGGGAGAGGGGTAGGAAAACTCCTGGACTGAGAGCGACATCTGAGCTTATGCCCTGTCTAATTTCTGTTGCTTTTCCAGTTTTATTGTTGAGCTTCTGAGTCTTTTAAGGCCAATACTGATGGGATTACTGGTATTGTATTTTCAGCGCTGAGGAAAGCCTTTGCTTTGAGGTGTGTGGTCAAGCACAGACACGTTTATTTAGTTTTCCCTTAATGTACACGTTCAAAGTAGGACAGCCTTCCTCTCAAAGGCTGCTTGTTTGTACCTTATATTTGAATCCCTTCAAGGCTGGTTTGCATTTGTACAATTGGTCTGTTAAGCCCGTTCTCCTTCCATCACAAACCAAAATTGTCTGCGCTGCTACATGTAGACAAACACAGCGTGTGGTCAGAGGTTTCCCTGAATGTCTCAGAAAAGCCCATGAGCAGGGGCTTAGCTGTGTGTGTAGCTTGCTGTGTGAGCTGTAAACTAGTAAGTACCTTGAGAAGATGCTCAAAGACAGTGCAGATACTGACAGTGCAATGTGCTTATAGTCATCTTTAGTAGGGAGAAATTCTTTATTAGAAGGAAATCCAGACTGGCTGGTATGACAGACAGCAGTTCAGCGACAGGAAGCTTTGTTCTGAGCAGGGCCTTGGAAGGATTATTGTGTACCTGCACAGCCTAGTTTTACATCAGACTCATCACCTGGTTGCAATCTCCCTTTATCACTCTCCAAGCTAAGCACAACCTGGTTTAGCATAAATTGTGTAGCAAGCCCTGCTCTGTTTTAGTGCCACACTTAACCACGCCCCATAGCCTCTTGGTATCAGACTCATGTTTTCTGCTCTCCATAGCGAGATGTACATTTAGGTCCAAAGTCAAGATCTTTCAGATTTGTAAAGGTGAACAGCTTTAAGATCAAAACATCCAAAAAGCATAAGCAGTGTTTCCTGACATCTTTTAAGTTCAAAATAAGTAAGTACAGAAACCAAAATCTTAACAACATTGCCCTAACTACCTCCAGGAATGGCTGCAGAATTTCTCATGGTTGCTCCATTAGCTTTCTTTTTTCACTGTGAAATATCAGCAAAAGACCGTTTCTGGAACACTTTCTCTATTATCTTCCTAGAAACAAAAAACCAGCTTAAACTTCTAGCTTGCATGGTTTCTCTTTGAGGGTCCTAAAGAATTAGTTGTCTGGAGGGAAAGAAACACCAGCAACAGGTATCTATCTATCTGTAACAGTGCTGCATCTAAAACGAGGTACAGCAGGTAAGAATTTTACTGCTTTGAAACTCCTTTTTCAAGGGTGAATGTGTATTTTAGAAAACTTTCTTGAGCACTGTTACATGAAGATTAGTATTGTGAACCAGAGCTTTTGTTAAAAAAAACAAACCACCCTATTTTTGGATGTTTCTAAAATAAAATCAATATAAGTGATTTATCTTTCTTGCTCATTTTGATTTTAAGAAGTCCTTCACAGTTAATCCTTGTGAGGACCTTCTGCCTTGTCCTGTGATGGCTCCATCTTTTTGAGGGTGTTTGGTGGTGGTGTTGAATGTTCTTTGGGAGTCAGAGTAGACAATCCAGTTCCCTCACGCCTCGGTAAGAACACCAAAGGTGTATCCCTGTAGCAACGTGGCTTTTGACTGTGACTCTGTCTTAAAAGGCTGTAATGCTTTTTTTTATTTCCGTGTGAGATTAAGAGGAAACAGCCTGAGGTCAGTGAAGCTGGAGTGGTGTCACAGAACATGACCAGATTGGGGCACTCGATTTATGCATTATGCTAGTCCTTGCTTTGCCCTGAGAAATGAGGAGTCTCTTATTATAATCTGCCTTCATGTAAGGAAGGTAAGGCAGGTGACTTGTTCAAGACCAAGCTGGTATTGGCATCAAAGGGTACAGGATCTCCTGCTCTCCAGCCTTGCATTCACCTGTCCTCCACCCCCCTCCAACTGACTGCAAGGAGTTGTCCTTTCTGGAAAGCATGAGGTGGAGCCTAAGAATGTGACACCTCTGAAAGGAAGGGGTGAAGCACCACCTCTGCCCTGACAGCAACAGTGTCCAGAGCTGAAGGCAGAAAACAACTGCTTGCGTATAACCATTATTCTGATGAGCTGAAAAATAAGTGAAGAATGCCGGTCAGGCTTAATTAATCGGAAAAACTGCACCTTCCCTCACCCGCCCTACAGATGTGACTCTCACACCCTCGGTGCCAGTGTGCTAACAGCTCCTCTTCCATTTGTGGTTACATGGGGCTGCAACACTAAGGAGCGGAGGCCAGTGCAGCATCCCCTCCCTGCCATCACAGCCCTACCCAGCCCTGAAAATATGTCTTTTTTAACAACACTTTAAGGGTTTATCTGTCAGTCTTCATTACAGACTGGATGCTTACAGAAAACACAGTAAACATGCTTCCTTTCTCCAAAAGTGAACACTTTTGTTGCAATTTAATTCTCTAATTCTTAAGCTTCGTGGTTCTTTGTATTTAGAAAACCTCACAGAACTCTTCCCCCCCCCCCCCCCAAGTGCCTCTTGGGAGGGCTACGCTCTGCAGACACGACTGTCAGGCAGAAGAATTATTTTCTCAAAAACCATGGCACTTGTGTGTCAGAGAAAACATTTTATTTCCAACGACTTACAACATTTGGAATTTAGCAGTTTCTACTTTAAACAGTTGCACAGGACCATCTACGGAAGTGTCACTTGTATCCATTTAATTTGATGAACAGCAAGACACTGCTCTTCTAGGAATGTGTCCAAAAATAACAATCCAATTTAAACAGTTACCTTGTCACTTCAAGCAGCTGCACTAAGGAACAGATGTTAAATGTACCTATTAACTGTATTTTGACTTACTCTGAAAGAAAGTAGCTTTAAGGCTTGGGGAAGTCTGGAGAAATTGTGGCATTCAACACAAGCTACAGTTCTCGGAGAGTTCAGGGTATGGACTTGGTTTTGCCCGTTGGCAGTCTCACTCCCGGTTTAGCGGAACACTTCACTGGGGTTGGGGGTAAATCTGTCAGCGGGTTCCCTCTTTGACTGCGGCTGCAGGTCCGTGCACGTGGCGGTAGTGCTCTGATGAGGGGACGCTGTTCGGCTTGCAGTGGCCTGCTCTCCGCAGCCGGGAGACTCCAGAGTCTCCCAAGGAGGTAAGACATGCCCTCCTTTGTTCCCAAATGACAGGAATTCCTTCCCAGAAGGAAGGAATGATGTTTTAGCGACCCGGAGAGAAACTGCCTCCTGATAATTAGCTGCGCCTGGTCAATCAGTTCTTCTCAAGAGCAGGGTGCCTGCAGGCTTACACCACACGGCTACAAGCGCGGTGCAAGATACAAGTAACACTTTCCTTAGTCACGAGTGGGCAATTAACCGCCAATTTCCCTACGGCAATTTAAATCAAACATTGCAGAAAGACGTAAATGGAAGGATTTGCTTTTCATTGCCAGCGACAGAAACCGTCCCGCGTTTGCTGGCGCAGGCCGCATCTCACACAGTGGTGATGCGTGGCCCTGGGAGCCCTGCTGTTTGCTCCCTACCGCACGTAGTTCTTGGGGAAGAGCTGGAAGAGCTTGCCCTCCTGTGTCGGCTCGAAGCCGTACTTCTCCAAGTTGTTGGGGTCAAAAGTGCCCTCCTTCACGTCCTTCTCGATGCGGGGAGCCACCACCTCGGTGAAGAGCTGCTTGGCTGTCATAGGCAGCTCGGAGCCCTCGGGGGCACGGTACGAGACGTAGGGCTTGAGCTTGAAGCCCTCCAGGTCGGGGACGACGAACTCGGGCACCATCTCCTTGATGAGGATGAACTTCTTGCTGGAGGTGAGCACGCCCAGCTTCTTGGCCCCTCGGCCTCTGTTGTAGCTCCGGGGGCCGCGCTTGCTGGTGAACGGGGACATGCGGTCGGCGCCCCGCACCAGCCCGCGGGCCAGCTCGGTCAGCAGCCCCATGCCGGGAACCCGCGGCCTCCTGAAGGCTCGGCGAAGCCGGGACCGCGCCGGCGGCCACCCCGCCGAGCTCCGCCGCGCCCCACCGGTGTTGGCCTCCGCACACGCCAACACCGCCCGCTCCCATTGGCCGAAAGGCACCGGCCAATCCCTATCGTAACCTGTGAAGGACGCGGGCCATTCGGCGCGGGGTGGGGACTTGCCCGCCAATCAGCAGCGAGGAGCCCGAGGCGTGGGCGGGGTCTGCCGTTCGCCTCTCGGTGGGCGTCGTCGTCTTCCTTTCGTGACCTTCGTCCCCGCCCCGCGGGGTTGACTTTTGACCCTGGCCTGGGCGGCTCCGAGCGCGGCGGCGGCGGCAGGTGAGGAGACGGGACGGGACGGGACCCGGCCCGGCC